TAGCGCCCCAAGAATTCTTCGGCAAAGTCCCAAAACCATAGGTTTTTTGCATTTGCCCTAAGAATTTCCAGGTATTTGGTTTAGCAGGTAGTGTATGCTTTGAAGGTATCCTCTCCCGTGATTTGATTCCGGAAATGTCCAACGACTGTTGCACGCCGTTGGTCATCTACGTGGCATGTACAGCGGCTTTGGAGTGCTTGACCCTGGACACCAAAACCAGATGTCTTGAACTTGTTATTGGCCATGCGTTTCACCAGTGTTTTTCCCCGCAGTGTCGCAACGCAAACAGACCACTCCAGCTGCAAGATGATGTGAGGTTCATGTTTTTCCAACCCAGCGCAGCAGATGGTGCAGCTGTTCTTGCTCAGTTTGATCCAACTGAAAAGGATCCAAAGCCAATGATTCGAACTTCGCTGCCTTCTTTGCTTCCCTTACGTCAGAGACTGCAGTGGCTCGCATCATCTGCCAGTGAGGCCATGGTAAGCGTGCCAAGCGATGGTGGACTACGACGCTTGAAGCAACACCAGCGCTCATCCCGCTCGGTGTGCCCCTTCACAGTGCACCGAACCGCCTCGGATAACTTGCCGGTCTATGTCGTGAAGAGGAAGAACCGTACAGAGGATGTGACCGTCGTCAAGAAGCTTCGTGGAGACCAGGAGGCTTTGAAGCGTGAAATCGAATTCTTGTGCCGGACGCGTGCGAGCTACGGACGCTCGGGCTTTCTGCAAGTGGTGGGCAACCACCGACGAGCCATCAAGGCGTATTTGCGCAGCGTCGGATATTGAAAAAAGCGTCAGCCGCTGACCAGGCCAGGAGGTCTAGTGTAGAATATGTGAATATGTTCTCTTAACGAGGGAATACCATATTTGATGGTGAGGAATCCCAAAATCGAGTCAGGCCAGTCGGGGAGTGTTTTTCGGACTTGTCAATGATTTCAGGTCACATTCGGCCCCAAACCCGCTGGAGGATCACATCCTCACATTTTTTCGGCAAAGGGGCAAGTCCATACCAGGAAGCAGATGGACAAGAAAATTATGCAACACAATATATGTATGTCACCCCTTTCTGGAGAGATTCTACTGTAGATCAAGTGTGCACACAAGCACACAAACAAGAACATCATAGAGAATAGCTCTTCCATCAACATTGCATCGGGCGTTGCCATGTTTTTGTTACTTCTTTTTTATATTGTGTCTCAATCTCAACTCTTGCCGCCCATGAATTGGACTTTCAACTTCAACCAAGCTGTCTCATGTGGGTACTTCATCTATTTGTTGTCCATCTACGCTTGTTCTCAGCATTCAGCATTCAGCTGTTGACCTTGCTTTCAAAACATCAATATCGGACATTAGGAGTCAGGAGTCAGGAGAGTATATTTTTAGAATCTGGGCGCCCTTGGCCCGCGTCGGCTTGGCCGTCAGGTCTGAGCTACGTGCCGTGCGCGCCGCGCAGGCCGACGGCAGCCCTTCCAAGCGGTCGGTGGGCGCGCTCGGCGTGGGGCCCAGTCAGGACAGGTCCCGTTGGTTCGTTGGACTTTTTTTTCGGGTCCTTCGGTGACCGGTCAGTCCGGAGAGGACTGGTCAGGCTGTTTGGGGTGTCATGGTGCTCGGGGAAACACATGATGTCGTTGTCCAGGGTCAGGAGGAAAGGAGAGGCACCCGGAGAGCAACCGTCGTCCAAGATATACTGCACCATACTGCACCTGTTGTCGCCTTCCCAAGCGTGGAAGTGGAATGAATTGAGCAGGGCCTCCTTGGGAACATTCATTTGTGTGTGTAACCCTTGGAATCACAGGGATCCTTTCGGATTGTTCTCGCTTTCAGATTCTTTGAGTTTTTCAGCAGGGGGACTGTCTACCCCACAGAAGTGACAGTCCAACGAAGAGGCTTCTGTGGCGGTACTGATATCACTGGAGACGTCCAGTGACGTACCTGCGATTTTTCAAATGGCTTGAGGCTAAGCCCAGAACCTCAAAGATTTGGTACTTCATGTTGCCGCAGTCACGCACGGAACGCCGTCACTTCGACCTGATCGCCGACCTCGATCTTGCGCTTTGGGCCTCCTTTCTTTTTAAGACCTCCAGGATTCGATGGCTTCCTACCGGTACTCTTAGGAAATGGAACCCTAGGCCGGCGTGTGGCACCGCTATCAGTTCAGTACGCATATCCATAAGTGTGTTTGGCCTCGTGCCAACCCGGGATGAGCCCGCAGAGTGCCTCCCGTGGACCCGTGGAACGGGGGTTTGTCGTTATCTTCCTTGCTTTGGAGATGTAAGTGTCCGAAGCGGGCAGCAGGTGGCCTAGGCCGAACGTACGATGATTTTTGTCCCATCTTTGGGGTTCCAAGTTGGCTCATGCCTTTACGTGACCGCAGCGGTCCAAGCTGGCTTAACGCCTCAACGTGGTCAGAGCGACCGAAGCTCTTTTGAGGTTCATTGGAACCCGTGGAGAACTTAGCCCCCCTTCTCCCCCTTCCCTCCCCCTTTCTCTCTTTGCTTTCTGGGGTTTTCCTGAATGTAATACTCAGGATCTCCCCTTTCTTTCTTTGGTGTGTCCCTGGACGATTGTTCGTAGCTGGGAACACCTTCCTTTCTCTCCTCTCCCTTTCTCTCCCTCTCTCTTTCTTTCCTTCCCTTTTTCCTCTCTTCACCCTTTTCCTTGGGCGTCCCTGGATGCTTTCGTCATAGCTGGGAGCCCTTCCTTTTGGTGTGTCCTTGGACGCTTGTGCCGTAGCTGGGAACACCTTTGCTTCCTTCTCTCCCTCCTTCTCTTTTCCTCCTCCCCTCCCCCCTCTTTCCTCGCGCGTGGCGTATTTACAAGCAAACTAGGCTTTTGCAACAGGTTTCTCAATGAGGTTTGGACTGTCATCGGTTTGTCCCCTTTCACTTGGTTCCCCTTTCATCCGCCTCCACTGACGTTTTTTCCCTTCTTTTCTTTCATGTCCTTCTGTCTTCATGTCTCTTCATCCTCATCCTTTCTTTCTCTTGCGCGCACTATCGTCCGGACCTTAGTTTGTACACATACCCGCACGCGTACTCTACTTACAGCAAGGTTCAGGTGGCCCAGGTTCGTCACAATGACGTTTGGTTCATCGGTT